AGCAGGGCCGGGTGGTTCGGAACGGAGGAGAGCCGGGGCGGTTCCAGATGGAGCGAAGCCGAGCGGTGCAGGACGGGGCAGAGTGAGTGTCCTCGGCCAGCTGGGCCAAGCACCCAGCAATCAGGCTCTGAGCTGTCAGAACTGCTCCGCAAAAATCACAATTACAACTATAAAAGCTGATTTTGAGAAAAATATTTCTCTTTTCTCGGGATCCTGCAGAAAATAAAAACAAGCTTTTCCCCTCCAGTATAAAATTGACCGAAATAGCATACCTGCTCAGGTACCATAAATAAACTGCATCCAGAAAGCAGAACAAGATCTTTCATGTAATCTCTATATGGAATTTGGGTGTCATTCTCGGATTTAAGAAAAAAAAAAAAACACGGAGAATTCTCTGACCTTGATCTCAGGTAGCTGCCTGCTGTCACACCACTGCCAACACAGCAGGCTTGACAGCAATTCTTGCCAGCTTTATTTTCTCCTGGTCTGAAGAAATGAAGCGAGCAGCTCAGGAAATTTAGGTATGTATATAATTTCTAAAGGCACAATTTTTTTAAAGACACACCTTTTCAAAAAAAAACCACCCAGCATGTTCCCCTGGGGTACCTTCAACTATGGGTAGATCAGAAGTGAAATATCTCCCATAATATACCATTATGAAAAATCAAATTCACAAGATATTACAAAATAATTGTGTATTTTCAGTAACCAAAAGTACTGAAGAGCTGCTAAGCCTCCAGTGCATTATACATATAATATGATAAATTCAAAAACTTGAGACTGATTAAATTAAATTGAGACCTGGTTAAACTCAAGTGAAGCCCTGGCAGGAGTGGAAGCTGAGAGGTGCAAAGCCACCCTGGTCTGGAGATGTTTAACCCCATGTGAGAACACTGATTTCACTGCACTCTGCAGCTGTTACTGCCATGCCCTTGTAAACCATTTTAAGTATCTGAATTTCAGAGGAAGCTGTTTCAAGCGAACACTTGTGCTCCTGCCATCTGTGATTTGCATGTACAGAATTATCCCAGCAAATGGGTAAAGTGACTTTGTGCCCAAGTGCATGGATGTGCTGGGGAGCACAACTGGCTGGGAACCTGTGGCACAGCCACAGGGAATGCTGTGGCGCTGATTTGAGTAGTTTCCTGGTGTGGATGTGAAATGCTACGGGGTGAGAAATGACAATCAGTTCCTGGAGTGAATGAACCCATCTGTGTCCCCTGAAAAACTGAGTGCACAGGTAGTGAAACTGTAATTTAAAACAAATTTAACACAGTGAGAGCAAGTATAAAAATACCTTTTAGATTAATTAAGTGGCTAAGCACACTTACAAATGATAAAGATTTGACAGTTTTAGGAGTCTTGTTGCTTATTGGTGAATTTCCCTGCAGCCATAAGCCCCAGAATCCCCTTTTCAAGGGTGCTGCCTCCAGCTGCCTCTGGATGCTGTTCCCAATTGCTGCCTGTGCCCTGCACATTGACAGCCCAACAGAATCCCATACAGCAGCTGGAAATAAAACACAGCTTGATAAAATTAACCTCAAAATGAGCTGGTGCAACTTGGGTGAGCATGGGGCAAGGTGTAAGGGAAGTGGTGCATGGAGGAAGGTGTTGCTGCTCCCAGAAACCTCCTCAGCATCACCCTCTGCAACCTTGGATGGGGTTAGGATAACACTTTTGTGTTAAGACACCAAAAAGTCTTCCTGAATTTTTTATCATTTTTCAGAGGAATGTGGGATCAGTTTCTGACAAATTATTTCTCAGAATGTAAACACTGTAGTGCTGTTACACAGGGTGAGGGTTTGGGCTGTTACAGGGTCTGTGGGCATTGCTTGTGGTTGGTGCTGGTGCCATCAGTCCCTTGAGCCATGTCCAACAGACCAGTGCTAGACATTTTAAGAAATGTCACATGCAGAGGAGGGTTCAGACCATTCTGAATGAACTTCCCCAGGTGGTGAAGAGGGATCTGCAGGAATAGTGGGACTCCCAGCAGTGGGGATGGCAACAGGGGTTCCCCAGGGCTTTGCTAAGGCAGCAGCTTGGGGAGGACCCTCTGCATGGAGGCAGATGCTGCTTTTCGTTGATGGAAGCCCTGGAGTTTCAGTTCAGTCCAGACAGGCAGTTGACCCTCAGAGTGGAGAGGAAGGTCTGTGGAAAATGGTGATGCAAAGGTCTGACACAAGCCCGCATCCCAACAATGCTGCAGTAACACCTGCGGCAGAAGCCATGTCCCCACACCTGAGGAGCTGCTGTGCTTTGTCCTGCTGTGGGCTGCTCCCACCACCTGCCCGCTGCCCCACGGGCTGTGGGACTCCAGTTTTGTTCACACAGCTCCTGGCCAGCAGCTCTGCACTGTTAGAAATCATGGCCCTGGATTGAGTCATACTTTAGCCAGTCCGCCCAAACACACACGAGGTCTGAGACCGGTGCACACAGCGCTACTTTGGAAGGCTTCTGTGGAATTTCCACCGCATGTATTGCATGGTCTTCAGTCTTCAATGCTTGTCTTCCCCTTCCTGAAGGAGAAACCTGCAGAGCCAGCTGGCTCTGCAAAACCCAGAAGTTGGAAGTGAAATGCTGCCACACAGAACACAGCGAAAAGCTGCAGCAAACCAGTTATTTCTAAGATAACTGATGGAGTGCCACTTTGTTAATTTAACAGTACACTTTAAAAACTCCTAAAACATTCTATGGCTTTGCTCTCTGTGTCCTGCTCACTATTCTGTTAGTTACCTTTTTTTCTGGTCTATGTCCATGAGAATATTACTACTTGGAGCACAGGAGTACATAAATCTCTTGAAAAGAGCATTACAATAACTTTTTCAGTTCGCCATTTGCTTTCCAATGTCTTAGTCTACATCATGATTTCAGCCAACAGACCAAGACTGTTTTCAGTATCATCCTGGGGTTCCAGCTCTCTGCTGGGATCAGCCTGTTCCTGAGCAGTCCATCTCTTTCTTCTATGCATGTACACAGAGTGGCTCTTCTCTGGCCCCTCGGGAAACAAGGTGTCTGCGGGGACAGCAGCTTCCAGAGCCAGCTCCAAGCCTTTGTGGAATCTAGACAGAAACAATTCTCTACTTACTGTCTTTATACATTTGCTCAGGATCTGAAAATTACTCTGAGAAACGAATGCTTTTAGAATGTAATCAAAACATGCAAGGGGAGAAAAGTGGTTGCTAACATTTTACCTAATACTGAAGAAAAATTAGATGTCATGAACAGAACTGGTGTTTTCTTACAAACCTGTCAATCCTCCTTATGTTTTCTTCCATTTTCTGATTGGCTACATGTACCAGAAATTCAATATATTCTTCAGAGACCATCAATCTCCCTTTGTGGCTCAATGGAACTTCTAAGCAGTGAGTGCTCCGCACAGCCTGAAAACACACACAGGATTTACCTGGAATAAAGTTTTTTAGTTTATGAAGGTTATTTAAATAATGTAGGGAGTTCATTATAGTAAAAAACCTGCTTATCCATACAATCATTTAAGTTGCTGTCACCTAAAGCAGCAAGCTATTTCTTTGTTATAGCATGCCCTGTGACAGCTCCTAAGCACCAGTCAGGTCTTGGCTGGTACAAAAATCAAGGTTAACGTAACAACACAACTTCATTACATCCCTCACAGTAGCAGAGTACTTACCATTGTAATTTTTCCTCCTCTGCCAACTGTAATACCAGAGTTCCTGAACCCAGAGTCAATAGCCACTGAATGCTGCAGAAAAAATAAATACTTAAACAGGTCTTGTACACTTTCACAGCAAAAAATATTTATGGACGCCTTGCAATGCAATCTCAATTTTGCAAAAAACAGATTCAAATCATCTACCCAGACTTATTAAAAAACAGTTACATTAAAATACTTTTTAAGATCAAACCCACAAATGGTGGGTGGTTTTCAGAGGCCCACGGTGGATCCTAATTGAATCCATCAGTGCAGAAGGGTGCAATGTCTCTCTGGGCACTGAACTCTTTTATGCCAAGGAGCTGGAACTTCACAGACAGTCGTGCCACATGCTCACAACGATGAGTGCAGCTGCACTCTACCTGAGTCCCTCAGCTCTCCTGCACTAATGCCAAAACAAGCCCAGCACAGCACACATCGCTCTCTGCAGTCACACTGGAAAAGCAGAAGGCAAAGGCATCATTCAGTGCACTGAAAACGGACCCAGATGGCCTGGCTGGTAGCAAGGTACCATCTCAAATCCAGCCCCTTCAGCCAGTGAGAGCAGCCCAGGCCCCTCAGGTAGCGTTTCATGCAGCAGTCTGCTTCAGCTTGAACACTGAATTGCAGGTGAGTCTTTTTTCTTTCTAAGTACAGTAAAACCCTCACCAAGTTTAAAGCTGTGTTTTTTCACCAGCTTACTTTACTACTCTAATTATTAAACACACGGCACACCTGGGACTGTTTCTAAGTGCAACTGCTTACCCAGGAGCCAATACTTTTATTTTTGCAGGGAAGAATGTAACAGAACAATGCCACATTGCACATGACGTGGCTTTACCAGCAGCTGCGCATCCTGCAGCTCTCGACACAGCACGTGAAGAACAAATGGTTCAAACTTGAACACAGCATCACCAGTGGCTTTCTTCAGTGCTGTCATCTGGAAAATATACCAAAACATTTACATAAAAATCATAGTACTTCCTCTCGTAAGAGTTAACAACACCCTGCTGTGTACTCCTTGGCCTGAAACTTCAGCAAACTTTGCTTTGCTGGTACAAATACTAATGAAAACAAATATTCTGGAGGATACTCCTGTGCATGTGTGAGAATGTATATGTATGGTAAAGTGAACTACAAACTGAGTGAGAACATGCTGATCTTGCAACTGCCTCTTTTGTGGGACAAAGCAATAGATGCAGAGAGTAGATTATTTTGAAAGCATATTAAAAATGAGAAGTCCTGCACTATAGATGTTTCTAATTTCAGGATATTTAATGATACTAAATTAACAATGCTATATAAGAGATTCCCTGTTACACCACCTTCAAGTCTCTGTCTGCGAGCACAGCAAGCTGGGCTCAAGAGATATTTTTTAATTCAAGAGTTTTAAATATGACTCCAGACAGCATGAAATTATCTAAGTTTCTGGAATATCAGCTGCCTTTATAACTGAGCAGAGAATCTGAGTTTAAAAGCATTCTCTTAAAATAGGCCTGAAGAATTTATTAAGCAACACATCTAAGGAAAAGTTAATGTTGAGAGTCCAGTATCAATTCATGTCAGTAGCAGGAATAAAAACCCTTTGACACCATGTGTTTTCTATGACAACTGGAGCATTTCCGTGAATAAAAATAAAGGCTGTATCTCACTGTGCCCTTACCACATCCCCTTTGACACACGGGTCATGTGTTACCAGGAGCCACGTGCAGTTCTTCTTCTGGATGCCCATGCCGTCTGTGTCCTGGTGGTGGACAGAAACCATTAAAGTGGCTCGGCAGCTCGGTGAGGTTTAATCTCGTGCTGCTACAAAAACGCTCCTTGGAAATAAAGAAGCAGCCCCTTGCAGCAAGAGCCAATTCACACCGCGACCAGACCCACTGCCACGATCACCCTGCCGGTCCCTCACGCACCGTCACGATCCCCCTGCCGTTCCCGTCCCTCACGCACCGTCACGATCACCCTCCCGTCGCACGAGCTCGTGGTGCAGAAGCTCTCGCGCGCGTTCAGGAGCCGCGCGAGCTCCGCGGCTCGCGCGTCCAGCGCGCGCTTCCGGCTGGGGTCCGGCCGCGCGAGCCGCAGCGCCTTGTGCCGCGCGAACGCCGCCATCGCGGGGGGACGGCGTCCCACGGCGGACAAACCTCGGCGCGCGGGGCCGGGAGGCGCGGCGGGGCGGGGCCAGTAGTGGTACGGCCCCGCCCTCCTCCGCGTTCCGCCGCGCGGCAGCGGCGCTCCGCAGGTAGGCGGTGGGAGCGGGGGCTCCCGGGCGCTCGTCCGGGGAGACGGGACGAGAAGGCAGCGGCTCTGCGCTACCCGTGTTAGACTCCACAGCCACGGAGACACGGCCGGGCTACACGGAGGCGACGGCTGTACGAGGCGGGCCGAAGGGGCGGGGTCTGATCTCAAGGAGCGCTTCCGGGCCACGGCCTGACCGCGAGGCGGGTGAAGAGGCGGGGCCTGGCGGCGAGGCGTGTTTGTGGGCGGGGCCTGGCGGCGGCGGCGTGTTTGTGGGCGGGGCCTGGCGCTACAGGTGTGTTTGAGGGCGGGGCCCGGCGGTGCCGGTGTGTTTGTGGCGGGGCTCAGAGCAGCCCGCAGCCTTCCCTTGCCCCGCTGCCTCCCCTCCGGTTCGGTTCGTTCTCACAGGATCGATCGCCCTTCGGCCCCGCGGTGTGTGCCGTGTTCCAGGCGGTGTCCACAGGGCAGGTGGCTCAGGCTGCCCGTGACCTGAACAGGTACCAGGGGTCTCATTGTGTCTTTTAGCAGGTCCGCTGGTCGCCATGGCAGCCACCAGGAGTGTGATGCGAGCGGTCCGAGTGTTTGAATTTGGTGGCCCTGAAGTGCTTAAACTCCAGTCAGATGTGTTAGTTCCTGCTCCAAAAGAAAACCAGGTATATGTGAGCTCTGTGAAGGAAAATAGTGGTAATGAATGTTAACAAGTCCCTGCAGGACAGAATGAGAGATACACCCAAAACCCTGCACCTAGAGTACGTGAGTTTTGGTCAGTGTGTTCATGCTGCTTGAGATATCATGCTTAGCAAATGTGGGCTCTTTACTCTGCTGTGGGCTATATATTCCACATCAGGCTTTCCCTGAAACTAGCTTCACTTTGACACTGGGTTGTTACAGAGGCTGTGTGAGAATTCAGTAAAAATGCTACAACACCATGCTGTGAATTCAAGGGCTAACTCATTTTAGTTATTGCTTAAGAAGTGTCTTTTCTTTTAGGTATTAATTAAAGTCCATGCCTGTGGGGTCAATCCTGTTGAGACATACATTCGCTCTGGAACTTATGCCAGGAAACCAGCTTTGCCCTACACTCCTGGCTCAGATGTGGCTGGGGTGATTGAAGGTGTTGGGGAACACGTCACTGCATTCAAGGTATTTACACACTGGGGTATAATCACCATTGCTTCATGGGTCCTCTCTGGCTGGCTGCTGTGCTACTGTACCTGGTTTTATATCACATAATCTCTTCAAGGGGGGAAACCCCTCCACGGCCTGTACAGTGGGATCCCACGGGCAAAGCAGTCTGCTGGTGGGGCTGTGATGAATGCTGTGCCCTCCTGAAGCTCAGAGCTCTCACGAGAGGCACTGCACTCTGTCTGCTCAAAGCACTGATACCTGGTGTACAAAAGTTGGGGTTTGGAGCTATTTTTCTGGCACTGCAGAAAAAGTTGAGATTGGAAGCTTCTTGCTGGGGGTAGTAATTTCAGGCAGAACTAAAAATTTTTCTGTAAAGTATTTGAGAAGTGGAAATTGCTTACTTATAAAGCTCCATAAATTCTGTTATTTGTTACTAAAATTGTTCAAATACCGCATTACTCCTGTCTAGTAATTTTATTTGGATTTCTCAGTGGGAAAGCCGCAGGATAGGAGAAGGCAAATATCAGTTTGCAAAGAAAGATATCTATGACATCAATTTAGTTTTTAAATTGGTTGTCCCATTTAAGTCATTACACATTTGGTCCCAAACCAACATAAAAACTGTAGGTAAAACTGGGCTGGAAACTCCTGATCTGGAATTTATGTAACAATTTTGGGAGATCTGAGAGACAGGGTTATCAAGAGAGAAGAATAATCTTTTTTCATATTTTCTTACTAACAGCTTGCTATATCTGCTATGTGAGACTTTTTGCTTCCTCTGACAATTGTGATGCTCTTGAATGAGAGAGAGATGTCTTAGGGTATATTGAGGGGATAAATATTTCCACATTTAAATAATTTAGAAATGTTTCTTTTGTGTTTGTAAAAGCTTTTGAGTTTTTTCATTTGGAATCTGTGCATGGAATTCCTGACTTCAGTCAAAGTTCATTAAGGCTCATATTAATGAGGCAGTAGGTTTGTGTGTTACACTGTAGGGTGGGCTTATAATTATGATACTTAGATTTAAGTATAAGAAATTATACAGTTTGTGTTGCATTGCTGGCATGTATCGGATTTTATAAAAATTTCTTTGATAAATATAGCTGGTTATTTTTGATAGGAGAACTGTTAGAAATAGCCCAAACCTCTGTTAATTTCATTTTAACGTTTATGAAGGAAAAAGGAAGGGAAATTATTGATTTCTCTGTGTTCTCTCCCTCCATTCTAGAAAGGTGACAGAGTTTTCACCCTTGAAACGCTCTCTGGAGGATATGCAGAGTATGCAGTTGCTGCAGCCAACAGAGTCTTTCCTTTGCCAGACAAACTGGACTTCAGGCAGGGAGCAGCGATCGGAGTGCCCTACTTCACTGCCTACCGGGCCCTTTTCCAGAAGTAAGGCACCAAAGCCATGCTTGTGCACTTTAATCTTTGCTATTTACAATGCCAAAGTTCGTATTTTCACTGTCCTATAAAAGGGGGAGGTTGGTGAGTGGGAAATGTTTAAAAACGTTACACTGATGGAATTGTCAGATAATTGTGATCTAGCAGCTTGTGACTGCGTTTTCCTGCTGAGTCTGTTTTCTTGAGAGAACCTACCAGGAAAGGCTTCATGGAATAAAATATGAGACTCCCTTTCAGAACTCACTGGTATTTTGGCTGGGGAAGAAAAAGAGCAATAGTTCTAATTTCCTCAGTAAGCAGACAGGTGCTGTGGAGCAGAACCACTGCTTTCCTGTGGCAGGCCAAAGTCCTGAACTGAAGCTCAGTACCAGGCTGTCACTGGCTGCTGGCTGCACGTTGCTTCAAGTCATCAGTCACAGGATTTATTTTGACTCCTTGTTTTCCCAAAAAGGCTTATGATATCTGTTTAGCCATAAATTGGAATATAATTGGAACATAGGCTGGAAGCAATGCTGTGTGAACAATGAGGTTTGGTGTCAGTGTCTGCAGCCCCGTGCTCAGTCAGTGTGTGCTGCAGACACAGGGCCAGCATTTCTTGTGTTCTTCTCCTAGAGGCTGTGCCAAAGCAGGGGAGAGCGTGCTGGTTCATGGTGCCAGTGGCGGGGTAAGTATAAATTACAGAGAGCAGCACTGCTCTCTGTCCCTGCATCTGCTTCTTCCTGGGGTAGGAGTTATGGTCATATTTGTGTCACTAGATTAGCAGATTAGGTTTTTATTTCAGATTTGCTAGGATACACTTTCTCAGAAAAACCCTGTTATTCCCAATAACTGTGAGACTGCACGAGTGCTGGTGTGAGTTCCCCAGTCAGAGGGTCACATACTGAACAGGTGTTTGCTGCAGGTGGTGGTTGGTCTGGAAGTTTTATTGCTGATAGCAGAAAGCTCTAAATTTCCAATATGTACAAATTGTTCTCAGTCCTCTGAGAATAAGTCACTGGTGCAGGGCAACTGTGCATTTCTGTTTGCATTCTCATGTATTTACCCATGACCCAACAGCTGGCTGCACAAGGAAAGGTGCTGGAATATATAAACCTGTGACTGAATACTACATGAAGTTGCACTTCTAGTTTTCTTTGGGTTTTCTTGACAAATTTACTTTAGATCTTTATGACTCAACATTTATTTTATCTCCCACACTCTGTAGTTGCTCATTTCTTGTGATGCACCAAACAGCTTCTGTGAACAGGCCAAGTTTCCTTAATTATTTGTTAGAAAACAAAAAAGATGAATTCATATCTTATTCTGAGATACTAGAATGGCATTTAGCATCGTAAATCCTTTTTAAAATTTTCATAAACTAAATGTAGTGCTTCTATTTTTACTGGAGTGCAAAGCTGGTAGGAGACATTGAGAATTCACTTTCTAAAGTAGTGTTAGTAAAATTTGTGCCTGCAGATTTTCTTTGCAATGTATAATGCTGGTATTAATAGCAGGTGATTCTGTGAAGAGAAGAATTTCCTTGGATTTGTATAAGAAATATTGGGCTCAGGTTTGACAGATACTCTGCATTCCACATCTATGTGTGTCAAATGTTGATAGCTATTAAAAAACCTCAAAAATTTACCATGCCTTGGTAAATATCTTTTCTTTTTTAAAGAGTATTTGGCTGTCTTTGGGATCCAAATTATTGGCTAAAAAACACTTTACCAGACTAGCTTTTTAAATGGGAAAGTTCCAAGTTGCTGGTAGACTATTTAAAATGCTAAGAAAGAGGTAAAATAATTTCTCTTTTGTTTTTTTTTTTCTCCCTTCAGGTGGGACTAGCAGCATGTCAGATTGCCAGAGCTTGTGGTTTGAAGGTTTTGGGCACAGCAGGGACTGAGGAGGGCATGAATGTGATCCTGAGAAACGGCGCTCACCAAGCCTTTAATCACAGAGACCCGAATTACACAGAGAAAATTAAGGTAGGCCTGTGTCTGGACTCAGGAATGCAGGTTGTGTTGTTCTTAACAACTTGTGAACAGCTGTTTGCAGAAGACTTTAAAACAGATTTATGTAGATCAGTAGTGTACTGCCTTTTTCATTTCTACACAAGGAAAAACTTTCTCGGGCTGGAAGAACTGAGCTTTCCTCACAGGCAGTGGCATTTAGAACTTCCTACATTCAGCAAATTCTAGTGTGGGATCACATCACAAGTTAGCACAGCAAAATGTGCTACAAATCAGCTCATTTGCTGTCAGCTGCAGCACAAAGGTGGCATTGAAAATTTAAACAATGAGCTGTGAAGTGGAAACTTTCTGTAGTGTTTAAAATCAAAGATGGTACCCAAGCACTGAAGTAACATCCTGTGTCCTGCACAGGCATGCACAGGGCCGGGAGGAGTGGATATCATCATAGAAATGCTCTCCAATGTCAACCTGGATGCGGACTTGCAGCTGCTGTCCCGTGCAGGGAGGGTGATGGTGAGTGTTTGTGTCCCTGAGCAGGGAGGTGCGGATGGGTGCCTGTGTCACTGACTTTGTGCATTCAGCATCACGCTGAACAGCTCTGACTCCTCTGGGCAGGTTGTGGGCTGCAGGGGACGCATCGAGATCAACCCAAGAGACACAATGAGCAAGGAGTCCAGCATAATTGGAGTGAGTCTGTTTCTTGCAACTGAGGTGAGAAGCATTTGTATTTCTAAGTATGCTTTATTGACTTGTTCCAGCACCCTTCTATTTACAGTTAAAATTATTTGGAGGAATGAAAGAATAATTTCACTGTAACAGACTTTTTAGTTCATTCCTTTATGTTTTGATTCAATCTCAGAACATCATAAAATATTTTCAGGTAGTGGAATTTGCTTTAATTATTGCATAAATTGCCAATACTATTCTGAAATGCAAAGACCTTGTCATAAACACTATGTTTGTTGCATGCAGGAGGAAAGGCGTGAATGTGCCACAGCAGTCCTTGATGGCATAGAAGCTGGCTGGCTGAAACCAGTTGTGGGCTTGGAATATCCCCTGGAGAAAGTGGCCAAGGCTCATGAAGACATTATTTGTAGCAGTGGTGCCCGAGGGAAGATGGTGCTCCTTCTGTAAAGGAGCACCCTTTTCCATTTATTTTGTAGTTGTTCTAACTGCACCTTTTCTTACATGGTTCACTGAATGTATGTTATAAACATACCTTTGATCATGTTTGACAGTAGCAGAAAATGCTCACTTAGATGAATTAGTTAACATTTTCTTTTTGTAATAAGCAGAGTTGCATTTACTGTAATGTAATTTTGGTAGCTTTTTTGATTGATGTGGCAATAATAAATTTTCTCTGCTGGCGTACTTTGTGCTGCAGGGAATGGTAGGGTTTGGTATCATGAAACATGTGAAGGCCACTGTAGGTAACAGAATGAAGATGCTTTTGACAGATGCACAAAAGTAAATAACTCACTATGTGTGTTAATTAGAACTGTAAATTCTTTTAGCCACAAAATATGTACTCAAATTTTGTACTCAAATTTTGTCACGTAATTTACTTGAAATTAAAGCTTTTACTGACAAAATAGTTTACTTTCCAGCTCAAAAGATGGGCAGAATCTCTCAAACGTGAACTGTTTGGAGCCGAGACAGTTGTACTTGTCTGTGCCTCTGAGGCTGGGTGACAGCATCCTGGCCCATCCAGAGGGACTGTCACTCTGGAGCTGCATGCTGGGATTTGCCTCTTTGGAAATGACGATCATGACCAAAGCAGCTCATTTCTGGATGGTGAATAATGGCTGATTGTGAAGATTTCAGTTCTTCCTATGAAGTCTCCTGGATCCCTGGCTGCCCTGAGAGCGGAGGGGAGAGTGGAGGCTGCATGGCTTTGTGGCAGGAGAGTTCCTGTGAAATTCCTGAAATTCCAGCCACTGAAGTGGGCAGGGCACAGCCTCAGCACCAGGGCTCGTGTGCAGGTGTCTGTGTGGGGTCACTTTGCCATGACACCGGGCTCGTTTCATTGTGTCTTCTTCTCATAAACCTTCAGTCCAGTGCACAACAGGTGGTGTTGCCAGGAAGATGGGGTAGTGTTTGTAGAGTTAATAATTTGCATTTCGTGTTTCAGTGAGTGGTTTCAGAAAGCTGCTTGCGGAGAGAAGGACCAGGCCAGCTCAGCTGTGGGAATGTCTGCCAAGGTGCAGTGGGCTCCTTCCTCCCTCTGGGCTGCTGCAGGGCACTGAAGATGGTTTCCTTGTTCCTAGCACTTCCCACAGGAGTAGGGAGCTGTGTTTTTTATGTGAAGATTTAAGTGATTCACCTGGTGTAAGTGGTGTGTAGCCAGTATCTCTGCTGATTATCCATGTGAAAGGTGCTGACTGTTCCTGCTGTCTCAAGCAGAATGTGGCCTGGGCAGTGGTGTCCATTGGGAACGTGCTATTCCTCTTGACAGCTGTTAGAGAAAGTAAAACATCTCTTAATATCAAAGTACTAAGCCGAGGTTAAAAGTAATGGTTAATGACATAGATTGTGGAGATGATGTGCATAAAAAGTATATACCTTTCTTCTATATTCTGTATTCAAATAATATTTTTAATTCAGTCTTAATTTAGTAGGAGTCCATGACATGAATGAGAGGCTGATGGTTTACAGTGGCTCCTTTCTTGCTTAGTGCTGCCACTGCATCATGGATGATGTTTAGAGGAGAAATTCAGAGCAAGTCTCTGGTCTGTCCTCATCGTTGTTGTCCCAAGGGCCGTGGTTGTAGTGGAGTTTGTCACCAGAAGGTGTCAGAGCAGTTCTGTGCTAGCACATTATCCCAGGGTGCCAGGTGACCTGGCAGAACAGCCCAGCGGGACTGGGCCCGACTTGTTGGCAAAGTCGTAAAACGCTTATTCTTCTGTCATTTTCCAATGTATTGTATAAATTGAAGGATTTTTTGTTAAATTTTGGAAGAAGTACTGTGGATAGAACTAATGAGGTATATCTGATTTGTGCAAGCCACCAATCTAGGAAATGCCATCCTGGAGAGTCCTTGGTTTCGCTCTCTTTTTGGGACATGCTGCTGCTTGGCAGTGCAGAAAAGGGTGAGGAAGAGAGTGGGGGCCACAGACCATTGAATTTGGCGGAATAATTATCTCCATTTGTTGAGAATCTTCTCCTGATTTGACTGGATGGGATTTTGGAGGCAGTGGTTCCCCATTGCAGCCTGCTTGCATGGGTGCCATGGGTGATTGGAAGGGCTGAACAGGCTCTTGTATTTGTGCCGACTTTGGCATCTGCAGGAGAGGTTTGGGGTTCAAAGTGAGGAGTTGTGTGCAATGCAAGCTCTGGAAGCTGCTGTTCTATGTGTTTCTAAAACACGAAAGAGTGGAATTGTTCAGAAAAGCAGCTGCTCTTGGTTAATCTCATTGCGCCCCAACTAAAGAAGCTGCTGGGGCGGGTCCAGCAGAGGGTCGCAGAGATGATGACCGCGTTGCATCTGAAGCATCTCTAACGCTGAGAGACTGCCCGAGGTGGGCGTGCTCAGTGCGGAAAAGAGACAGCTGAGAGAGGATCTCACCAATCCATACAAATATGTCCAAGGGGCGTCACAGAATGGTGCCGGGCTCTGTTCAGTGGTGCCCAGCGACACGATGAGGAGCAATGGCCATGACCTACAGCACAAGAAGTTCTGCCTCAGTGTGAAGGAGAGCTCTCCATGGAGGGTGGCAGAGCTCTGAAAGAGCTGCCTGGGGAGGGTGTGGGGACATTCCAAACCCACTTGTAGGCGTTCCAGTGTCACCTGTCCCCGGTGACCCTGCCTTGGCAGGGGATTGGCCTCGGCCTCTCCAGAGGTCCCTTCCAAGCCCAGCAATGCCGGGGTTCTGTGATTCTGGGGCTGCGGGCGGAGCACCGGCCCTCTC